CTGCACGACTGGTCAAATAATGAGTTGTGGCGCAAAATCAACTCCATAAAGTTTCGGTTCAGGTGTAATCAGCAGTCATCACGTAGGATTTTTCAGGGGTGGTTCAGGCTGTGGGTGATGTCAAGAGCACTGACGTTGATCTCAAGGAAGGCATCAGAGAGGTAAAAATGCATTGCAATGTGTTGTGCAATTCATTGATTTCGACTCAGGCAACGGAGGCTTATCCTTGTTGCAAGGATGTCACACTGGTTGGAATATTTGCAAAGAAAGAAGTTTCATCGAAGAATTTTAGGCCCTCCGACATCGAAAAGGAGTGAAGTTTTCTGTATCACTCTTGCAAGGACCCAGGAACAGGCAGAACTCAAAGGAGACTTGCAGCTGCTTCAGGACGAAATCAAGGCTGACGTGATCAATGCTGTGGCACCCCTGGTCCCTGCAGAACAAGCTTCCGTTAGAATCTCCATCAAGAAGATATGCCTTGATCACAGTGACTCTTTCAGAGCCATCGCGGAGTATGATTGTTCCTGCGAACCCGACCTGGCAGAAGAAGTTACAGTGCAGAGTAAAAATAAGTGGAGCTCCCTTCGGCTAAAGGGGAAGTGGACTTCGCAGATCTTGTCTCACAACAAGATCAGGGAAAAGCATTTTTTTCAGTCAAGATGGATTCAAGCAATCAAAACTGATTTCTTCTCGCACTTGAAGGAAGAGGCTCGGAAACAGAAAGAATACAACACTCTCGAATCACTCAAGCAAAAAGCGGAATTACTGCAGACTCAGACCCAAGCGTATCAAGTTAGGGACCAAAAGAAGGAAGAAAAGTTGAAAATAACAGCAAAGAAATTTGTTTTGCTGATTCAAGAACAGGACACAAACATCGCTTTTAAAGAGTGGGAATCGCAAGTCAAATCGCAAAAACAAAAACAAACTCAAAAAAGTAACTGGATTGAAAGAAGCTCAAAGATGGCACTCGGAGCAGCCTTTGACGGATTTTGTGCGCAAGTTGCATGGGTGAAGGACAAGAAAGCAACCTGCGAGCGGGTGGTACGGCGGATGCTGCACTCTCAGCTGGCCGGGGCTTTCGACCGCCTGGTCGAGGCAACGGAGAAGCTGCGGAGGCAGAGGGCGATGATATCGAGCTGTCTGACGCGCTGGAGGGGATCAGAGGTCGCAGATAGCTTCGAGGGCTGGAGAGAGGAGGCGGGTCGGAGCCGGGCGGAGAGGGCGGAGGCAGCCCGGGAGGAGGAGCGGCAGAGGCGCGAGCGCGAGCTCGAGGGAGACCAGCAGCGGGCAGAGCAGGCGGCCAGGAGCGAGCGGGAGCGGCTTGAGGCGACATGCAGGCAGGCGGTACAGCGGATGCTGCGGTGGCAAGCGGCGGGAGCGTTCGACGCTTTCTACGGGAGGGTGAAGGAGGTGCACGAGCAGCGAGAGCGGAAGAGGGAGGCGGTCAGGCGGCTGATGCACAGGGAGCTATGGGGGGCGTTCGAGGGCTTTAGGGAGGCGGTGGAAGCAGCGAGGTCGAGGGAGGAGAGAGCGCTGGCGACGCTGGGGAGGTGGAGAGCTCCGGAGAAGACCCGAGCGTTCGAGGTGTGGGTAGAGCACTGGGAGGAGAGCAGGGAGGCAGCGATGCTGGCGGGGCACGAGAGAGCTCGGGAGGAGCTAGCGGCAGCACTGGCGCGCGAGCAGGAGAGACAGAGAGGTCTAAGCGAGCGGGTGGTACGGCGGATGCTGCACTCTCAGCTGGCGGGGGCTTTCGACCGCCTGGTCGAGGCAACGGAGAAGCTGCGGAGGCAGAGGGCGATGATATCGAGCTGTCTGACGCGCTGGAGGGGATCAGAGGTCGCAGATAGCTTCGAGGGCTGGAGAGAGGAGGCGGGTCGGAGCCGGGCGGAGAGGGCGGAGGCAGCCCGGGAGGAGGAGCGGCAGAGGCGCGAGCGCGAGCTCGAGGGAGACCAGCAGCGGGCAGAGCAGGCGGCCAGGAGCGAGCGGGAGCGGCTTGAGGCGACATGCAGGAGGGCGGTACAGCGGATGCTGCGGTGGCAAGCGGCGGGAGCGTTCGACGCTTTCTACGGGAGGGTGAAGGAGGTACAGGAGCAGCGAGAGCGGAAGAGGGAGGCGGTCAGGCGGCTGATGCACAGGGAGCTATGGGGGGCGTTCGAGGGCTTTAGGGATTTTGTTGATTTCCGTGTCTGGTCTCGATCTCAATGGCTTAACAAACTCCAATCCTATTTCAGTTTTTGCTTGTCGGATTGGTTTGACCGGTTTGTGTCCAATTGTTTATTTTCTCAGTCTAATCGACTCAAGCACACCCTTGTTCGTCAGATTTCGAGGTCTTCTCAACTCCAAGCTGACGTTTGCAAGCATAAGGAAAGGGTCACTCAACTAATTGAATTCTTTTCTCGATATGCATATCTTTTTCTTGTCCGTTACGGCTTTGATGCATTTGCTATTTGTCATTTACGAAAACAACGAATGGGCAAGGCAGTTCTGAGATACCTTCGAAAAGTTTTCAAGATGTTCGGGTCTGCTCTGCTCCAATCGAAGAGGGCGCGCGTAATGAAACTGAAGCAAAATGATCAGGATGTTTCAAGGATCAAACTGCTTGTTTTCCATGAATGGAAAGATTGTGTTCAAAATGGCAAAAGTGAGCAAGAATTGCACAGCAGACAAGAGCTTCTGGATGACCTGCAAGCAAAGCTTGTGGCCGTCGAGCTTGATAGAGCTTCGCAGCCTGCAGCGGTTGCCTTGAAGCTCAACTGTGATGGGAGAGAGGCGTTGAAGGATAGCAACAGCACAAACTCTCTTAGCAACCAAGTACAAGATGACATCAGCACAGCTCTCGGAGTAGACCCGAGTGCTGTGAGCATCCTATGCTACGAACGAGGCAGCGTCATCGCAGAAGTCGCGCTCAAGAAGGACCCGGGAGTTAGCAGCCGCAAGCCAGGAGACATGGTAGACGATCTACTTGCACAGGCTGTAGACATGTCCAGCAAGCTGCGAGGGACAGCGACGGGTCGAATTTTGGTGACGGCTGAGACCCACGGGTCGGTATCAGAGCAGGTATGCGAATCAATCCGAAGAGCTTACGAGCAACGAGTGCAAGCAGGAGATCAGAGAGTGAATGAAATGATGGAAGCATATGCATCTGAACTAAAGGAATTACAAAGCACATTGGATAACTCTCTCGAAAGAAGGGAGGCCACCATGAAAACAATACATCGAAGATTAATGAAGCAATCCCTGTCTGAAGCCTTTGACGATTTCTGTGCGCAAGTTGCATGGGTGAAGGACAAGAAAGCAACCTGCGAGCGGGTGGTACGGCGGATGCTGCACTCTCAGCTGGCCGGGGCTTTCGACCGCCTGGTCGAGGCAACGGAGAAGCTGCGGAGGCAGAGGGCGATGATATCGAGCTGTCTGACGCGCTGGAGGGGATCAGAGGTCGCAGATAGCTTCGAGGGCTGGAGAGAGGAGGCGGGTCGGAGCCGGGCGGAGAGGGCGGAGGCAGCCCGGGAGGAGGAGCGGCAGAGGCGCGAGCGCGAGCTCGAGGGAGACCAGCAGCGGGCAGAGCAGGCGGCCAGGAGCGAGCGGGAGCGGCTTGAGGCGACATGCAGGCGGGCGGTACAGCGGATGCTGCGGTGGCAAGCGGCGGGAGCGTTCGACGCTTTCTACGGGAGGGTGAAGGAGGTGCAGGAGCAGCGAGAGCGGAAGAGGGAGGCGGTCAGGCGGCTGATGCACAGGGAGCTATGGGGGGCGTTCGAGGGCTTTAGGGAGGCGGTGGAAGCAGCGAGGTCGAGGGAGGAGAGAGCGCTGGCGACGCTGGGGAGGTGGAGAGCTCCGGAGAAGACCCGAGCGTTCGAGGTGTGGGTAGAGCACTGGGAGGAGAGCAGGGAGGCAGCGATGCTGGCGGGGCACGAGAGAGCTCGGGAGGAGCTAGCGGCAGCACTGGCGCGCGAGCAGGAGAGACAGAGAGGTCTAAGCGAGCGGGTGGTACGGCGGATGCTGCACTCTCAGCTGGCGGGGGCTTTCGACCGCCTGGTCGAGGCAACGGAGAAGCTGCGGAGGCAGAGGGCGATGATATCGAGCTGTCTGACGCGCTGGAGGGGATCAGAGGTCGCAGATAGCTTCGAGGGCTGGAGAGAGGAGGCGGGTCGGAGCCGGGCGGAGAGGGCGGAGGCAGCCCGGGAGGAGGAGCGGCAGAGGCGCGAGCGCGAGCTCGAGGGAGACCAGCAGCGGGCAGAGCAGGCGGCCAGGAGCGAGCGGGAGCGGCTTGAGGCGACATGCAGGCGGGCGGTACAGCGGATGCTGCGGTGGCAAGCGGCGGGGGCGTTCGACGCTTTCTACGGGAGGGTGAAGGAGGTGCAGGAGCAGCGAGAGCGGAAGAGGGAGGCGGTCAGGCGGCTGATGCACAGGGAGCTATGGGGGGCGTTCGAGGGCTTTAGGGAGGCGGTGGAGGCAGCGAGGTCGAGGGAGGAGAGAGCGCTGGCGACGCTGGGGAGGTGGAGAGCTCCGGAGAAGACCCGAGCGTTCGAGGTGTGGGTAGAGCACTGGGAGGAGAGCAGGGAGGCAGCGATGCTGGCGGGGCACGAGAGAGCTCGGGAGGAGCTAGCGGCAGCACTGGCGCGCGAGAAGGAGGAAGGGCGTCAGCGGGTGGGTCGGGCGTGCCGGATGGCGATCTACCGGATGCTACAGGACAAGGTCGCGATGCACTTCGAGGCGTTTGCCAGCGGGGTAGCAGCATCGAAGCTCGAGCGAGCAGAGGCAGAGGCAGAGCTAGGGGCGGCCTTCGAGGGCCTTCGGAGAGCGGGAGAGCAAGCGCGCAACAGGCGCAGCGCTGCTGCCGTACGAGGCGTGAGGATGTGCGAGGTAGCCGCGGTGGCATGTGCAAGCATGCTTACAGACGTGGTGCTTGCTTGGAGAGAGGAGGCGGGTCGGAGCCGGGCGGAGAGGGCGGAGGCAGCCCGGGAGGAGGAGCGGCAGAGGCGCGAGCGCGAGCTCGAGGGAGACCAGCAGCGGGCAGAGCAGGCGGCCAGGAGCGAGCGGGAGCGGCTTGAGGCGACATGCAGGCGGGCGGTACAGCGGATGCTGCGGTGGCAAGCGGCGGGGGCGTTCGACGCTTTCTACGGGAGGGTGTAGGAGGTGCAGGAGCAGCGAGAGCGGAAGAGGGAGGCGGTCAGGCGGCTGATGCACAGGGAGCTATGGGGGGCGTTCGAGGGCTTTAGGGAGGCGGTGGAGGCAGCGAGGTCGAGGGAGGAGAGAGCGCTGGCGACGCTGGGGAGGTGGAGAGCTCCGGAGAAGACCCGAGCGTTCGAGGTGTGGGTAGAGCACTGGGAGGAGAGCAGGGAGGCAGCGATGCTGGCGGGGCACGAGAGAGCTCGGGAGGAGCTAGCGGCAGCACTGGCGCGCGAGCAGGAGGAAGGGCGTCAGCGGGTGGGTCGGGCGTGCCGGATGGCGATCTACCGGATGCTACAGGACAAGGTCGCGATGCACTTCGAGGCGTTTGCCAGCGGGGTAGCAGCATCGAAGCTCGAGCGAGCAGAGGCAGAGGCAGAGCTAGGGGCGGCCTTCGAGGGCCTTCGGAGAGCGGGAGAGCAAGCGCGCAACAGGCGCAGCGCTGCTGCCGTACGAGGCGTGAGGATGTGCGAGGTAGCCGCGGTGGCATGTGCAAGCATGCTTACAGACGTGGTGCTTGCTTGGAGAGAGGAGGCGGGTCGGAGCCGGGCGGAGAGGGCGGAGGCAGCCCGGGAGGAGGAGCGGCAGAGGCGCGAGCGCGAGCTCGAGGGAGACCAGCAGCGGGCAGAGCAGGCGGCCAGGAGCGAGCGGGAGCGGCTTGAGGCGACATGCAGGAGGGCGGTACAGCGGATGCTGCGGTGGCAAGCGGCGGGGGCGTTCGACGCTTTCTACGGGAGGGTGCAGGAGGTGCAGGAGCAGCGAGAGCGGAAGAGGGAGGCGGTCAGGCGGCTGATGCACAGGGAGCTATGGGGGGCGTTCGAGGGCTTTAGGGAGGCGGTGGAGGCAGCGAGGTCGAGGGAGGAGAGAGCGCTGGCGACGCTGGGGAGGTGGAGAGCTCCGGAGAAGACCCGAGCGTTCGAAGTGTGGGTAGAGCACTGGGAGGAGAGTAGAGAAGTTTTGCATAGGATCGCAGGGATGAGAGGAGGTCAGGTTCACCTCAACTCAGATAGTAGTGTTTCAAGAGTACCTTTTCTTCATGCCCCATTCCTTGCATGGAAGACTTGTATCATCGTCAGGAAGCGAACTTGCTTGCTCGAGGCCCGATACTCCAAGCTCGTCAAAGGCGCAACCGCCAAGATGGTTCTCTTCGGATGGTCACGCACGAGCAGCAAGCACCTGGTAACTCTTGTTTCTGTTGCTCGTTAGCAGCAAGCACCTGGTAACTCTTGTTTCTGTTGCTCGTTATGCTGACATGTCTCCTTAGATTGAGGCTGCGTCGAGCTTTCGGTCTAGTAGGCAGCTCAACACGGTGGCGATGACATGCGCGTTCGCCATGTGGAGGATCAACGTTGAGAGATGCGTGCGGGCTCAGATGCAGGTAAGCACGAGTACCTCCCCGATCGTCTTGCTCACTCGTTCCGTCAGTCGCGGATCTCCGTGCTCATTCAGACGATTGCGAACCTCTCCACGGGTCCAGACTTCGTGGCCTGACCTGCGAGCTACTTGGATCGGGACTTGGAGTAAATCATGGAAGGAGGGAGGGGAACCAGGACTGCGATCCACCAGAGGTTCGTCGCCAGCCATTTCGGCACTTCTCCTGCGGCTACAGCAGTCAGACGGACCCTCACAGTCACTCGCACGCCATCACTCGTGGGCATGAGACTGTCGCGATGAAAGGCGAAGTCAAGAATCAGCGATAGGCGCTGGCCCTGCACAGCAGCTTTCAACGACCATGCGCATGTGCCGTCGCTCACCAGGGTCAATCCCTTGGACGTTTCACCTGCGGCCAGTTGGGCTCCTGCATGGAGACTGAGCTCGTAGTCTGACATGACAGCACGTGACCTTGCTTTCCTTTGTGATAGTCGACCTGCCTGAGACCTCTGAAGCTCCAGTGAGCGAGCAAGCTGAGGAAGGGAAGCGGCAGACCTTGAAGACAAGTAGAGGTGATAGGCGAGGAGACACGAGATGACGATCGTCAAGATCGATGAGAGCATAAAGATGGCGAAATGCACAGCGAACCCTAACTGTAGTCGCGTGAGAGGAGGGAGGGAGGGAGGGAGGGATTAACCTCTAGCGCCCAAAAGAAATGGCTGAGCATAAGTTGAATCAGTAGGTGCATCCCTCCGTTCCCTCCTCGGATCAGCTGGTCGCTGTAGCCTGCATCCCGAGGAAGCAACTTCGAAGCTAGCTGGGCCTGGTGAAGATGAGGGGAGAGTAGGTTACATTCAGCACATACCTGGATGTTCGACCTCGCGCTCTGGAGGGTGAGGAAGGAGCAGACAGCAACAAAGAGGGTGGAGAGGGAGACCCAGAACAAGAAGAGAATGAAATACCGATGATTTCTATCCCCCACGCAGTTGTTGATATAAAAGCAATGATGGTCCATGCCCTCCACGCAGTATCCGCATCTCCTGCAATGGTGCACCCCCTCCAGCTTGAGGACGCGACATGCCGAGCACCACTCTGGAGAGCTCTCGTATCTCTTGCTGTTGCCTTGGCTGTCTCGAGGAGAGGCTCTGCCGGGATCCAGAGCTGCTGCCCAGAAGAAATTGCAGACTACGTTCAGCGTGAGCCACGAGGAAAAGAGGAGGAGGAGGACGCCAGGAGCACTTCCAAGCGGAACTAAGGTGGGAGCAACCAGAAGAAATCCCCCGACCACGACAAACAACGTCGCAGAGACAGCAGCGACGAGTGGGAGCGTCCTACCCAAGGAGTCCATGGTCTTGACGAAAGTGGAGGAGGAGGAAGGAGAGGAAGAAGCAGGAGAAGCAGGGTCAACAACGGGCAGCTCAGGGACTTCGGAGGAGGGAGGAAGCTGGAGAACTTCCATGCATCCTCCACATCGCGCCATCCGCGTCACCATCATCACCTTCACCCCGCAGTTCCAGCATTGTACCTCCATCCCACCTCCTTGCCCCTTCATCCCCCCTCGTCCCCCCTCGTCCCCTCCCTTAACCCTCATCCCCCTCCCTTCCCTCTTTTTAACCCTCATCCCCGCGCAGATCCTCCGGGCCCCCCTCGGGTTTTCTTGGCTTTTTGATGTTTTTTTTCAGCCGACGATTCGCCTTCTATGGGCAGCAGCTCCCGCCCTTGACTGATGCCCCTGACGCCTCTGCCTCTGCCTCTGCTGCTGCTGCTGCTGCTGCTGCTGCTGCTGCTGCTGCTCGTATCAAGCACTTGGGCTTTTCTTGGTTTCATTTGCAAGATTTGATCTGACTTGACTTCGACAGGCCAACACGTTTTGAGTCCATCACAACATGTCAAGAAATAGATAATCAAACGTGACCTCCAGGCGCGTCAGAATGCTTGAAAGAAAGCTCTCATCGCGAGCTCCTCATATTCTTCTTATTCATTTACTTCTCTTGCTCTGCATCCAAAGCGCTTCATCTCAAGACGGCAACTTCCTTTTCAACGATAACTACTGGAACATTCCTACCGGGAGCCCAGGGCAGTGTGTTGGCACGGATTGTCAAAAGTACGTCTGCGCGAATAAGCCTGAGCAGCCATACTGCCGTGGGTGCAGCGGCAACCCTACAGCGTTCAATGTCGAGCCAAAAGATTGCTTGGAGAGCGACCCGAACGCGCAATGCTCAACTTGCATCGCATCCTGCCTACCGTATACGACTGGATGGGAGAATTACGTGCCTGTCGCCGGGTTCCGACAGGAACCGTTTCACTGTCGTAGTAGCGGGGATGCCTGCGCTGGGAGCTGCGTGAACTCCTGGCACAAGTCATGTTCTATGTCGGGGATCAATGACTGCCCGGCGGGAGACGTCTGTGTAGGAGGAGAGTACGTGTGCTTCGGTGAAGACGTGGACAACAGAATCCCTTGCACCATCACCCACTGTGATCCAGCTCGAGTCACCTATAACCCTGCCCTCTGTGAATGCCAGAAAGGAAGATGTTTGTGGTCTTCGTCGCCGTCTGTGCAACGAGATATGGGGAACGCAAATGTGCGCTTATGAACCCTTTGATGGCATCCAGATCTGACACCTTGCTTTCAATGCAGAGCAATAAGAAATGTGATAAATTCAATCAAGATCAAACAGCGGTCACCCGTCAACTCTGCTCGCAATGTCCCAGGTCGTTCTTTCAGTGCCCGTCGTGTCAAGGCAAGGGGATTGAGGTATCATGTCACTTGTGCTGATGCTGCTGCTGCAGTTGTGGGAACGGACCCCAAGGACTGCTTGACTGCCTGCCTGTTGGACCCTGAATGCACCGCTGTCACCTGGAGACCCTCTAGCACCAACACCACGTGCGAGGGTCTTGCTGCAACTGACTGTCACTCACTCGCTTCATGCGCAGGAATAGCACGTGCGTCAAGGCAAACTCAGACTGCACCCTGCTAGACAGGTATGTCGCTCACTACGTATGAGCTTGCCTTTCACTGCACGAGCAGCGCTTTCCAAGAGAGTGCATACATCAAGGCCGCCACTTGGAATTTCCCTACCGAATGTCTGCCAAGGGTCGATGTGAGTAGTGACGTCCTGTGGGCTATGAGGATGAAGGCGAGGGAGGCTGACAGCCTTCCAGGTGCAAGAAGACATCATTCGCAACCCCCGCCTGGGCTTCCAGCACAAGAACGCGACCTGCCGAGCTTGTTCGCGCGTGGAGGTGAAGGAATATAAGGGCACCTCTACGAGGCTTGACAGCAGCGCAGGTTGTGCTGAACGTGAAGTACGGGAAGTTGAACTTCGGGTTGAAAGACAACTCGCTCAAGTGCATCGGTCTGCTCTCGTGATGCCTCAGGCTCCTCCACCTTGACTTCTGTGCAGCTCCGAACTACAACCCGTTGAGAGATGGGAATCCTCCTCGCGCTGGGTGCTCGCTCACTGCGAGAGGTGAGGGAGCGAGCTGGTGAGAGCTGGGATGACGTGGCTCCAGGGCTCGACGAAGACTTCAAGCTCATCTGCCCGACATGGCCAGAGTCCGTCGCAAGTTGCAACCCCATCCTTGCGTCCAAGATCATCCCCGGCGTCAGTGACAGCGTCCAAATCTCGTTCCTGCCCAGCTGGCAGGCTAGCTCGGCAGTCTCGGGTCAGATCTCGGTCGCGTACCCTGGAGTTTCCATCACGGGGCCGTACGAGGAGGTGCTGGTGGTGCTGAGAAACATCACCTACTCCCCGACCGACGACCAGAACTCCATGAGGATCCGGTGAGTGACATCAGGCCGACACTCTTGGCGCCTGACGACTCTGAGCAGCTCGCGCATCTACAGTGGCTCCACGTCCCTCTCAGCGACGTGGCCCATCGGCAAGCCCTACGAGGAGCTGGTTGTCAGCGTCAACTTTGACAAGACAAACCCCAACTGCTCCGCCTGTGGAGCCTTCGGGACCTCCAGCCCGCACGTGCGGCGCTACCTGATGCACGTCCTGCCGATGAACGATCCCCCCTACATGGGGAACCCTCAAGACACTTACAAGAAGCCCAAGTACTGCAAGGCTGACGTGGCCCAAGAAGACTGTATCGACTCGTCCACGGGGCTGCCGCTGACGCTGGAGCAGTGCCATCTGTGCTACTTCGCTCCTTTCTTCACGTACGAGGGGAGCACAACCTCCATCCCCGTCTCCGGTCTCACCCTCATCGACGACGACGCGTACGAGAGCTGCACATGGGCCAACGCGAAATGTACGAGCGCGGACACGAAGGTAAGGGGAGGAGCAGGCGGGGGGCGGAAGGAGGGAGTGATGAGGCTGGCAGATCCTAGTGAGGAACGGGGGGATCGACCTCAACACTCGTCTCGGGCTGAGCATCTACTCCGAGACGTCGAGCTTGAAGGCCTTCACTGCCCCCATGGGCCCGACGGTCTCGGCCATCACGGTGCTGCAGTACCAGGCGTATGTGCCGGGGGTCGGGAACATCAACTACAACACGCAGAGCAACGGGAACTCGGAGAAGATCTCAGTGGCAGTGAGCGACCAGGGCTTCACCGGAGCCGTCGAGTCCAACGGAGTTCTGTCAAACGGCATCTCGCTGGAGTCTGCCATCGACATTCAGCTGACCATCGTCGCGATGAACAACCCTCCCGTAGTCTCCTTCGGCTCCGTGACGACCAACTACAGGGTGCTCGAAGACGTGCTGTCAGGCATCTCCTCCATCACTGTCGATGACAGTGACGTCGACGAGGTTGTCACGTCGGCGCTGGCGAGCAAGCTCTGGATGTCGCTGTCGATGTACGCCAACTACCTGCACAAGATCCAGCTGCTGGTCACGGTGACGCGAGGGAAGCTGCTCTACCAAGAGACCGCAAACTTGGTGCTGCTGAACGTGTACGAGAGTATCTACCTGACCATCAACCCTCGCTTCACCGGGCATGACGTTTGCCGCACCTCCTCGATCTACCGGAATCCCTTGGGCGAGACGACTCAGTCCTCCTACCAGGTCTCCTGCTCCAAGAGCAACATCGGGCAGCCCGGCTGCCTGCTGGGGACCGAGTCGACCTGCACGTGCAACCTCAAGGACGACTGCTCGACGCTGTCGAGGATCCTCCTGTTCCTCAACCGCACCAGCAGCACCTTCACGCAGTACTACACTGACTTCAACTACAACATCGAATCCATGAGCGACCGCACGTGCGGCGGAGTCCCCTGGTACGCCTCCCCCAACGCCTTCTCGGTGGGCAAGATCTGCCAGATCGATCAAGACTGCAGGGCAACCGACATGTTCAACTGCTCGACGTCAGGCGGCTGCCTCTGCTGTGCTGACCTGAACAAGACCTGCTCCTCCCATGCCGACTGCAGCTCCGTCGAGGTCGGCTCCTTGTGTGGCTGCACCTGGAACGGGCCGGCGGGGCTGCGAGCGACTGACCCAGGGACGTGCGGGCCATGGCTGGACAGCACCAACTTCCCGCTGGCGGACACGGACGGGAACAAGAAGCTCACGCCGACCGAGCTCGCAACCTTCATCTCCTCCTGCACCTCTTCCACCTGCCTCTACCGCGCCACCACCAAGCCCGCGGACTGTCCGACGTGCGTGGGTCAGCCCTGCACGTACATGGGGAGCGGGTCGACCTCCTGCCTGCCTCCGATCATCGTCGAGAACGGGACAGCCGACTCGACGGTCATCGACCCGCTCAGCACGGTAGGGAGTCAGAGGATCGAAGTGTACGGGGGCAAAGCAGACATCAACAAGGCGCTGGCAAACATGCAGTACCTGAGCAACCTCAACTACAACCGCCTCTACCGCAACCCCGCCTGCTACCCTCCTCCCCGCGAGAAGACCAAGCTCTGCCAGGCTACCGTCCCCAACTTCGACCCGACCTTCGACGACATCGACACGGTGACGGTGGAGGCGAACGACCTGGGGAACTCCGGGGGCATCGAGCGCTCGATCCAGATCAACGTGGGGGCGATGAACATCCTCGTGCAGGCAGTGAACGATCGGCCGCGAATCTCCAGCCCCTCACAAGTTCATCTCATAGAGGACTGGGTCTTCTCCTTCATTAACCCCGACCTCCTGGGAGAGGTACCACCCCCTCCTACCACCCCCTCCTACCACCACTACCTCCTCCTACTCCTGATACCACTACCACCACTGCCTCCTCCTGCATATACTCTCCTACTCCTACCACTGCTTACTGTTTCCTCGTTTCCATCCTCCCCTCCCTCCCACACTCGCTCTCTCTATCCCTCCTCCTCCTCCTCCTCGTCCCCTCCCCTCACCCTCCCTCCTCCTCATCCTCCTCGTCCCCTCACGCTTCCTGCAGGCTGGTCTCGCTCTCCCCGCCCCCGACTGGTACAACAACCTCATCGTCAGCCAGTGCGTCTTCGACAAGACCAGGCCAGGCGCGCCCTTCGACCCCTCCCTCGGCTCCTCCTGCGGCTGCTTCCGCGTCTGCACCTCCCCGACCGTCCAACTCTCGCAAGTCGCATGCAGCTGCACAGACACGGACTGCGACCTCAAGTGCGCAGACCAGCAGGTCAACCAAGTCGCCTCCATCCTCCGCGCCAACTTCAGTCAAGCCTCCTACACCTACGGTCGCATCGGTGATCCCATCGTGCTGAGCGATCCAGGTACCTCCTCCTACTCCTCTTCATACTCTTTCTCCTCCTCCTCTTTCTCTTCCTCCTCCCTCTCCTGATGTGCAGCTGACTGGGGGTCAGACTACCTCGACTTTGGGTTCCTCGAGATTCAGATGGAGCTTAACATCTCCTGCAACCATGGGAGGCTCCTGCTTAACGAAGCTTTCCTCAGCCAGCGCGACGTCTTCGGTGTTCGTATCAAAGTGCAGAATTATCAAGGTAGTCCCTTACGTCCTCCTACCTCCTCCTCTATTCTCCTCCTCCTCCTTATCGTCGTCGTCGTCGTCCTCCTCCTCCTCCTCCTCGATTCTCCTCGTCTTTTCTCGTCTTTTCTCCACGTCCTTTCTCCTCCCTCCTCCTCTTTCCTTCCTCCCTCCATCCTCCTCCCGACTCACTCGTCTCTCCGCGTCCTTCCCCTCACTCTATCTCAGGCTTCGAGGTTCAGTCGCCCACCTCCACCGGCCTCTACTACACGCCCGTCGGCTCTGCCTGCAACCCCTGCGACCTGGGCTGGAAGTGGCAGAACGGGCTGGTCGTGTGCTGCGACGTGCAGCCATGCCGGCACTGCCCGATGTGGGGGGTCGGGAATCGTTTCATCTCCATCACCGGCAACTTGGACGACCTGAACCTGGCGCTGAGCAACCTGACGTACATCAACGACGAGAACTTCAACACGCGCTACTTCCAGTCCGAAGCGATCCTCCTGCAGCTCAACGACAACGGCGCCATCGGCGACTCGCTCGCCTCCTCCCCCAAGCTCGGCACCCTCGCTGAGATCGCGGTGTTCATCGAGTCCGTCAACGATGGCCCGCAGATCCTCCGGCAGGTCCCCGTGCTCTCCCAGTCGATCACGCTGGGGGACGGGAGACGGTGGTGGATCTCTACAACTGGGAGAACGCGGACCTGAACGCGTCCATCAACTACATCGACGTTGACGAGGACACTATCTTCGTCTTCAACCAGTCGCACTTGTGGATCGACGACGTGGACTCTCGCGAGGCTGAGATCATCTCCCAGCAGGTGAAGCTCAAGAACGATCCCATCACCTTCACCTGCTACCCCGGCGAAGACATCCTCGACCTCCTCCTCCTCGGCTCCCCCCAGTGCGTCCAGAATGCGCAGAAGACGGGCTACGTGTGCCAAGGAGGATACAAGAGCGGTTGCACGTGCACTGACAATTCCGACACTTCCTGCTCCGACGGCTGCTCCTGCACCCTCGGCTCCTGCTGCATCTCCACCTGCTCGCGCCCGGGCGTCTGTCCCGACGCGCAAGGAAAGATCGCCAAGAACCCTGGGGAGCTGCTGGTGGAGTTGTCGGTGACCAACGGGATGCTGTCGCTCTATCCGCCTGCTGGCCGCAGCCTCCTCAGCCTCACCTTCTACACCAACTCGACCCCCGTCCCCATCAGCAGAGGAGGGCCCGCCACCGTCTGCTCGCTGCAGGCCTGCATGAAGAATCAGAGCAGCATCGTCATCGTCGGAGTCCTCGCGGAGGTTCAGAAAGTTTTCTCGCAGAGGTTCCTGAGCTACCTGGGGCTTCCCAACTACTACGGGCCTGACGTCTTGAGCGTGAGCGCTTGCTTCCTCCTGCTCCTGCTCCGCTGACCCTAGACTCCTCCTCTCCTACTCCTCCTGTCCTCCTTCCTCCCTGTCTGCTCCTCCCTCCCTTGTCTCTCTCCCCTCCCTTCCTCTTCGTTGCTTCCTCCTCCCTCCCTCCTTTTCTCCTCTATCAGGTGTGGGTGTCGGACCAAGGTTTCACGGATCAGAGCTTCAACGACTCTCTGACTGCCTCCTACCTCCTCCCCATCAACGTCATGCCTGTCAACGACGCTCCGACCATTCAAACGCCCAACGAGGTTCTCAACTACGACATGAATCAGGTCTGCTACGTTGACTTCATGGCCGAGTACCGCGATCCTCGCGGGCTCCTCTGCTCTCAGTTCTCCTCCTCCCTCATCCCCGACCGGGCCGGAGCTCCGCGCATTCTCTTCAGTGACGTTGACGTGCGGGCAACGGCGTTGGGGAACGTGACGCTGACGATTGAGATCCAAGCGAAGCAGCCAGGGAGAATTTTCTTCAACGAGACACTTCCTCGCATCACCTACCTGCAGTACCGCAATGAGCTTGACTACACCGTCGTCGTCCTCAACGGGAAGATCGACGACATCAACACCCAGATGCTCGTGAGACCATGCCAACAACTCCTTCTCCTTCTCCTCCTTCTCCTCCTTCTCCTCCTTCTCCTCCTGCCTCTGTTTTCTGCTGCCTCCTTGCTCGTCCCGACGACTCTGACCTTCTCCCCTAGACCATGAGGTTCGACCCTGAGGCAGCCTTCGCGGGCTACGCGCCTCTCAGCGTCTATATTAGCGACAACGGCAACTACGGGGGAGATCACTGCATGGAGGAGACGGGAGTCTGCCGGGACTTCACCTTCACCTGCCCCACCACCTCCTGCCCCTCCTCCTTCACCCGCGTCCCTGACCTCTGCCTGCTCTCCTCCACCCGAGGCTGCATGAAGTGGCTCCTCTACCCCAACCTGCCTCACTTCGTCTACCCCAACCGCGCGAGGTCGACCAGGAGCATCGTCGACCTCTCGGTGGGAGCTGCTGCGTCCTGCCAGCTGAACGAGGCGATCAACGACTCGGCCAAGTGCTTCGAGTGCGGCAAACTAGCAGGATGCAATTGGTGTCCCTCCTTCTGCAACGGGAAGGGAAAATGCATGATAGGTGACGGCTCCTTCCTCCTCCTCCCTCCTCCCTCCACCCTCCTCCTTACCCCTTCCTCCTCTCTCCTTCCTCCCTCCGTTTCCTCATCTTCTTCTCCTTTCGCTGCTTTCCCCTGCTCTTCTCACCTCTCGCTCAGGCAAGTCAAGTCCCACCTATGAGATGTGCCCCAAAGGCGCCTTCAGGGCCTACGGTCAGTGCTCAGACACTGCCGGCAGCAGCAAGATCCTTCCTGCCCTCATCGCCGTTGCCGCTGCCCTCGTCCTCCTCCTCGTGACCTTCATCTTCCTCCGGTGGACTCAGAGGCGCTACGGAGGCTTGAGGAAGTACCTCGTGAGGAAGCAGGAGGAGGCGACTCGCGTCATCACCGAGCTGAACCTCGCGACCCCCTCGGACGCGCGATGGATGGAGTTCTTCTTCCAGCTCACCCTCTTCGTCCTCCTCGGCGTGTGGGCTGCTGGTCTATTCCGGCAGACGTCCGCCTCCTACCCAGCTGAGTTCTTCTTGGACGCCACCAGCTGGCTCACCCTCGACCTCGACTACTGCAGCGTTCGCTTCCTCCCCGCCCGCAACTTCCCGGAGCCCGAGCACTCCATCTCCTTCGCCAAGGTCCGCATCGCGCTCTCCTCCGACCCTCAGGTCGTCCTCAACGCCGACATCTGCACCGAGCACACGACCCTCTACGTCAACAACACCAAGTCGGAGGCGACCAGGTACCAGCGCTACCACTGCAGGATGCAGGTCATCGTCCCCGAGTCCTTCGTGCTGCCTCGCATAGAGATCAAGGAGCACAGCTCTCTCAACTTCCCCTCCTCCGTCCGCGCGGGCTCCATGGACCCTGACACCCCCAACTTTGGACTCCGGCTGGGGCCCAACAGCTTCTCCCTGCTGGGGCAGAACATGCAGGTGAGGCTGCAGAACTTCAGCGCCAAGACGTTCGAGCTCAAGTTCGACCATGGCTCCCTCGTCGCCACCGACTTCTCTACCGCCGACAGCGCGAGAATGCAGACGTCCGACGCGAACTTGATCGTGACGACGAGTAGGATGACGACCGTGCGGTTCTTTCAGCCCAGCGCGAACCAGGTGTGCCTAACCGCCGCTAACAACTCGCTCTACGTGGACGGAAACTGCAAACAGAGCTGCGACTTCATGACCATCAACAGCACAAGCAGAAGAAACTTGAGGGTAGGAAATGTCCTCCTCTCTTCCTCCTCCTCCTAACACTCCTCTATTCTCCTCCTCCTCCTTCTCCTGTATTCCTCCTCCCCTTCCTCCTCCTCTCC